GCAGCTATGCTACCACTCTTTAAGACAGTGATCTTTGCAGTGTATTTACCACTACAACATCCTATGGAGATGAAGCAATGACCACTGTGGAAGGGAATGAAAAGTAGTTGGGGAGTGTCAGTGTGGTAAGTGCATATTGAGACATGTCTGTTTGTGGTCTCTTATCTTATCACTAGCTAGCTACAGCTATTTGTGGCAAAATACCTCAATTAAACGTTGCTACATCCTTAGAATAAAGCAGGACCCTTCATTACTGTTTGATATTCTTACTGGATAATTTTCCATCTCTGTAAGTTGCTAGGTAGTTATAGCTATTTGCAGTAGAGTTGAGTGGAATGTGACAAATAGCATCACAAACTTTGTTAAATACCTTAGTAACTAGCGTGTGTGTTTTCCCCACCACATTTCAACCCGTGTAGTGTCTCACCGTATCAGAAGCCCACCAGCTAACCCTGCTCAGCCATAGCTAGCTCAGCTCCATTTGTGTACATAGTGTACATGTTTAATTATATTACCGTACCATGGCTCTACTTTCAAACTGCGTAAGTTCATGATTATTATGGAGGAAACTTAGTATCTGGCAGATGATTAAGAAGTGCTATTATCCTTATGTTTAATTATGGCACTGGCCTACCCACAGCAGTTTAGGTAACATTTCGATCCCTAGCAGTTTAGGTAACATTTTGATCCCTAGCAGTTAAGGTAGCACTTTGATCCCTAGCAGATCCAGATTAGCTATAATTATAGGGATGGAAATGTTACCTAAAGATAGAATAGGGGCCAGTGCAATAATTAAACATAAGGCTAATAGCACATCTTAATCATCGTCCAAGACTTCTTTGTTCACTGGACATAACTCAGATGACTAACTATTTTTTTTGTACCAGAGTGAGTGAAAACCTTTTCTATTCCAACGTTTCAGTCCTCTCACGAGGACCTTCCTCAGGGATGACTACAAAACCAGAACTGAGAGGAGATCTAAATACTGTAGGTTACAAGAAAACGAACAAGTTATTGTAAGAGGCGATCCCATACACAAGAAATCTCCAGACCACTGTCTCTGTTTATCAGTCTGCCTCCATGCCGTCTGATGTGTAGGGCCTCTCTGATCTTCCTGGGGATGGAGTCTTTGTCCTGATCTACGACAGAGATGTCCCAGTTTATAGTATGTTGTGTTGTCCAGACATGTTCCGCTGTAGCCGACTTTTCCGTTTCTCCCTTCCTGACAGCGTCTTTGTGCTGTTTAACCCTAGTTGACAGACGTAAACCTAGAACTTCGTAGCCTGTTCATTCCTCTTAGTTGGTGTGCACACAAATCATACAGGGAACACTGTAAGATAACATTGTTTTCAAGTAAGGGTAGTAGTGCAAGGACACTGTAAAACTGGTGATTGCTGACAAAGACTGCCAGGGTATGTTTGTAATAAGGGAAAAACCACTTGTAGATACATGGGACCTTGTGTCAGGTTTGCAACCACTGCTAGTCTTTTTCATATAGAATACTATAAAGCAGTGCAAGATTTGATTTCTTGTGGAAGAACCGCTTGTGTTCTTCAGACTTGTTAATGGCATAGTGATAAAACACAGAACATACAACCATTCCTAGAGAAATATTATAAAACTAGCTTGTTTGTCTAGGTAGCTATATACAGAAAATTAAATATTTTTTATGCAAAACCCTATATAAACCACTACAGTTGTTATGTGGTATCACGACAGGTAAACCTCAGTACTCTAGATGCATAAACTAGTTATTGTAGTTCCAGAGGTAGGTGGGTCAGAGAGGAGCTCAGCCAACTTCATCGTAGTGAGGTCTGAGAACTCTCTCAGCATTCTCTCTGTCTCTGGCAGCATTGCAAACCTTTCCCTGTACTTCTCTGACTTTATCCAGTCATTTGTGTTCCACTCGGTCTTTTGGTGAGGGAAGCCTCCATCTGTTGCCTGGTTTGAGGAGGGAGGTCCAGAAACCGCCACACTCTCTCCATGGTTGAGTATGGATCCAGAGACAAATCCTCAGACCTCAGAAAGAGGAACCTTTCTCTGGGAATTGCCCTCAACCAACGGGTTATGTGGTAGTAATACATGCCTATGCCGAGCCGCACCTTACGACAGTCACTTTCTTTGTCGTTTTCTTTTACGTAAGAGACTCTACATACACACTCATAAAGTAACGAAACCTTTTCCTTAGCAACACAGTCACGAAAGTCGTGTACTGCCTCAGCTGTAAAGTTGTGAAAAACTTGCCTCCCATTTTCAAGATAGTAATTGGCACAAAATGCGACTGTTTTTGACCCAGCTTCTGTGTGAGCAGAAGTACCAAAAGTCAGAAAAAAGTCTCTTGACAGGATCACGCATTATGACAATAAATCTGGCATTAGGTGTCAGCTCATTGATCACAGAAGGTACTACAGACATGTCTGATTCATCTTCAAACTGTTGAAAAGCTTTCCAAAGTGTTGAGGCACTTGCATCTATTGTAATACCGTGCCGAGATTTAGCAATCTTCTGTGCAGCGCCCTGAAACTGATGGAGGTAAAAGAGGCTGTGTATGATCTTGTCTTTGTAAGTACCACTGTACTCAGTGAAAGTGTACCAGAAATGCCCTTCTTTTCTGAATGGTTTTGCCACCAATGGGTGTTGTACGAGCATCTGATACAGGGACGTAGTACCACATTTTGGGAATCCAGCGAGATACACAAATGGGAGACAGTAGATCCTCTGCTCAAACTGACTTTTCGTTATGTCTATTAGAGAGAAACTGGCTTACGTTAAACTCTAGAATCACTGGCTCGTTCATGGTAGTGTTGTCATTAAATTTTGGGAACCACATCTTAGAAAAGTATATTGTGAAAGGTCATGTGGTATACGGAGTGAGGAGTTCCAGCAAGGGTTGCGATATTTCTGTGAGAAGTTTCGTGGAACAAGGTCGAACAGAACCTTTGTGTGCTGTCTCACTCTCTTACACATGGGAGATGTACATATGTTATCATCTTCACTCACATCAGCTGATAATTTCTCTCCCTCCATTTTTCTCCTCTCTAAAAGCCAATGAATAGGCATGCATTTGGTATTTTGTTATGAGGACGACACACGTTTTCAATAACAAAATGTGGGTTGTTGGACTTTGCATTCTATAAAGGTTTGAAAAGTCAAAACATTCTTCAACAGCTGGATGCCTTAGGATACTTAGCTATAAAAATGTGCCCAAAGACAATATTATAGTTCTCCACGCGATATTACCTACGAAATTTCACTAAAGGTGTGCCAAGCGTCTCACGTAGCTAATGACTAGCAACCGCGCAGTATACTTCGAAACGGAGTTCCCTAGGTTTGACAACCCCCGCCTTGTGGCGAATGTGTGCTCAACGCATCGGTTAACGCCCCTGTAGACTGAGTTAATCAAGCAGCAAATAGGTCTACAGTGAAAGAGCGGCACGATCCGTAGTGACGATGGCGCAAAATATGCTTTTTGCCCCAAGTTGTAACTATTAAGTCAGCCAATCTTACTTCCTCATCACTGCTTATTTCTTCATACTCTGAATCATTTTTATCAATGCTCTCCTCAACTTCTTCCTGTAGCTCGTGTTCTGTGTGTGGTTGTTGTGATGTGTATTTCTCTGTATTATTGCAATTCACACACTGATAACTGGGCCCACATTGAATATTGTGCTTGCAGTACTTGTCGATGGAAAAGGTAGCAAGGTTTGCATATTTTACATGTGGCCGTCATGGAGGACCGACCTGTGTGCATGTATAGGTGTATTTGTGAACAGATTGTGTTTTTTTACCCTTGTAGTCGATCATCGCCTCATCAACACTGTTTTGGGGGTGAGGGCTGTAATTCTCCTTGCACTTCCGCTTCATGTGTGTGATGATGGGGAGAACCTTCTGCAGACAATGGTACCCAGGCTCATTCTGTGAAGGTAAGCGAGATATCTGTTCGAAGCGGTCGCGTGTCTTCGACGCAATGAATGTGTTGCGCAGCTTGTCGTCAGTGGACCAGTAGTCACCGATCTCGGGAAGGCGATTTATCCTCATGACTACCATGAAGCCAAGATAGGCTTTCAGTTCTTCAACTGAGGTTGTCCACGTGGCGTTGCTGTGTGCATTTTATTACTGGGATAGTACAGATCTGTTTGTGTACTGTAAATTACTCATACCATTTTCTTGTCTGCAGGGTCCAAAATTGTCGCCCTGCATGATTCTCTCTCAGTTTCTCTTCCCCTCCCTCTCCCCCTGCCCCTCCCCCTCCCTCTCCCCTCCCTCTTCCTCTTCCTCTAGGTCTCCCTCTCTGTCCCCCATTCTTTGTCATGCTTGTCTCTGATTGAGCTGCAATGCCATCCTCCTCGTTCGTCCAGTCCATATCACTCTCACTACTATCTGAGCTCTCCATTTCTCCCGGACTACTGGCAGCAGGGATTGGCTCTGGATCTACAAGATTTTTACTAGCTCTAACCTTTTTAGTCTTATTTTTTTGGCTATTCTTGCGTGCAAAAAAACATACCATCATGCATCTGCTCAGATTCTGACTCATGGACATCAGAGTCCCACTCCATCCCCAGGTCATCATCACTACGGACTCGGAGGCGATGATCGACTACAAGGGTAAAAAAACACAATCTGTTCACAAATACACCTATACATGCACACAGGTCGGTCCTCCATGACGGCCACATGTAAAATATGCAAACCTTGCTACCTTTTCCATCGACAAGTACTGCAAGCACAATATTCAATGTGGGCCCAGTTGTCAGTGTGTGAATTGCAATAATACAGAGAAATACATATCATAACAACCACACACAGAACACGAACTACAGGAAGAAGTTGAGGAGAGCATTGATAAAAATGATTCAGAGTATGAAGAAATAAGCAGTGATGAGGAAGTAAGATTGGCTGACTTAAACAAAGACATTGACAACATTATGGAGGAGGTATTTGGGGTACCTCTTTGACATCCCTGACTCCCCATTGCATATAATTTTGTTGGATATCCCTAGGCAACTGACATGTATGAAGCTAGGTACTGGGGGATTGTATCAGCCTATACAATCCTACGTGTGCAAGCAGGGTTCATACATGTCGTTTGCCTAGGGATATCCAACAAATATGTCGCAGTACCCAGACAGGAGCTAAATCCCTGTAGCTACATACAGCTGTTGGGACATTATATTTTTACAACCTGTACCTCCATTTTTTTTACTGCTTTTAATATGCTTAGATAGTTATACTAAAAATCTGTGTCCCTAGCCAGTAGAGTTATTGAGATAGCCGTAAACACACGCTTCCGTCTTCCGCTATATCGGCCCTGGCAGGCCGCTTTCTCCGAAATCCACCGATGCACGGGGCCGAGACTCTTTCACCATAAGGTCACATCACTCCTGCCTCCAAAGAGTCGCTGCTATACTGTCCGTGGTTCACAAGAGCTAACGCGCGAGTTCGTCGAAAGTCACCAACTGAACTAGGGACAAACGCGGCCATTTTCCTTGACCGGAAGTTCCGGTAGTGCAAATAAAATTGGGGCGTGTCGTAGCTACGTTTACAAATTGACTGAACAGTGAACACCGAACTTGCTGACGTTTTTGGGGGATGGCTGACACGGGCGGAGAACCCGTGGAGATCACGGCACTAAGAACTAACCTCGTGTTTATTACAGATACCGTAACTGCTGTCCAAGGAACTCTTCAGTGGTTTGCTAACTGCCTGGTGGAAAGGTCCTTCATCGCTCGGAGAGATGCTAAGGGAATACTCAGTACGTATGGAGTGCCGCCTGCTCGACAAGCAAGTCTGCTAATGGACGCCGTGTTCGCAAGAATGCATCTATCAGATGAAAGAAAACGCCTCTTTCTCGAGTTTGTCAATATATTTTCCGATGATCCAGTATATGGGGATCTTGTGATGAAACTAAGGAGAGAAGGTGAGCAGTAGCAATGTTGGCTTGGCAGGCGGAATCTGACTTACGCCGCAACACATACAATTGTTTATTACGAGCCTTGCCTGAGCTAGGTGTCTGTTAGTCCAGCGACGATAACCAGTGGTGACCTTTGCCAAATGTAATTTTCAACCTTTCTCTATTGTCGAGGTGCCCCTGTTTTGACATTCGTTGGTTATTGACAGGGGAGAATATGGAATGCCTACTTAGTAGTCTCTTGTGATGCAGATGTGTTCGTTCGAGAGAGAAAGTGTGTAAATAGCATTGCTGTCTACTTATAATCATCTTTGTAGCTGAGTTTCTCTTATCTTCAAAGTCACTGCCTTAGCAGTACCACAGCCGTAACCCTAGCATCATTTAAGTCAATATGAGTATTGATGAGGGAGAAAAGCCACAGTTTACACTGTAAAACAATGTCTGTTACCTTTTTTGGCATGTCAATGGCTACTGCACTAGCGAGGAAAGACTGCGTATCTGGCGATTAGAATACAAGGGCGAGAGTGTGCCAGAAATAAACTCACCTTCAGCGGTAAAAGATATCCCCTAAGCTTTTTACTATACATGCCCTCTTGAAGTTGAATAAACAACTTCGGTTTTCAGCAGGTGTTAACCTACAGTTCATGTAATGAAGTTCATTTCTTAAGTGGTAACGTTTCCTCTATTCCTTTATTTCTCGGAGTTACCTTTCTTGGATTCTCTCTGCCCCGCCACCTCTTGGAAACTGCCACCCAAAATATTTTTGCTGTGTTTATAGTCTAAACTACATATGAATTAAGTTTTGCTGGTGTCGCATGTCCTTAGTTTTTAGCCTTTTAACATGATTGTGCATGCACACTGTCACAGAGTGCATGCCATCCATAGCACTAATGCGAGTAATCTCACTTTGAACTTGAAGCAATACTAATGTCATCTGCTTGACCCTCTCTCCTATCTGCGCTGCATGCACTTTAAAAAGTATGTGTGGAAAATCATGCTCAGGGAGAAAGGGCCTAAAGTCTATTCACGTTCACCTGCCCCCCTTCTTGGAGTCTCTCTGTCCCCGCCCCCTCTTGGAAACTGCCACCCAAAATATTTTTGCTGTGTTTATAGTCTAAACTACATATGAATTACTTTAGGATGGTTGGTGTAGCATATCCTTAGTGAAAAAAACGTTTTTAGAACCAATAACCTTTATGATTGTGGATGCACACTGTCACAGACACTCTGCGCTGCATGCACATAAAAAATATATGTGGAAAATCATGCTCATGGAGAGAGGGCCTAAAGTCTATTCACGTTCACCTGCCCCCCCCTGCGGTAGTGGTTGTGTAAACTGTTTATACAGGCACTACATACTTACTTATGCCATACTTTTCTCATGGGACATACCGCTAACTTTTGACTTATAAAGTTTCATGTGGGTGGTTCTACACAGTTGTTCTTGTGGGATATTCTTGTGTAATGGGTAATGGCCTACCGCCGCCTAGCGGGTTCTCGCTAGCACACTTCGATAGCCGCTTGCTCCCACACACGCGGTCTCAGTCTCGACAACATCATCACACGTGACGTCTCATGATCATGCACGGACAGTATTGTGACAGATGATTACACAAGTATGACCTCAGACAATGAATGACATAAGGATGAGTGTAATTGGATAATGTGTATAAGCAATGAATAAACAAAATGAGTATCAAGTAACATAGTTCAGTTCTCCTTACGGCTTCGGGATCGAGTTGTCGGTCCACAGTATCCAGTAGAGGGTCAACATTCCGGGTCGTCTTCTTGTTTTCTTAGCTTGTTTCCCGTGTTCAACCCACATCTCACTGTAGCAGGGTCTGACCCGATCAAGTGCTACAAACAGTGTTTCTCTATTCGGTTGGTCTACCAGTTGCACTTCGGCATTAGTTAGTGTGAGAGAAATATTTTGGTATATATGGTCCATAATAGGGTCGGGCGAGTTTCCAGGCCTTCCCTTGTGCTGCACTCGGAAAGTGCACCATTACACAATCATTCACTTTCAGCTTGGACACAGAACTTTGGTTGTCATATTGTCATTTCTGCTTTGTTTGCGCGGCTTTCATGTTGTCGCGGGCTAGGGCCCAGGCATCAGATAAATGAGCTACGAACTCTGCTCCATAGTCCTGGAAATCCAATTGATAAGCAGATCGACGGTGAGTAAGTGTAGGCAAATAGGAGGTAGGGTAGATGCACATCCCAATCACGTCCGTACTTGTCGACACTTTTGGAAAGCATGTTGATCAGTGTGCTATTAAACTTCTCTACTAATCCGTCGCATTGTGGATGATAACCTGAGGTATTGACCTTAGTCGTTCCCAACAGCTTGCACACTTCTTGAACTAAAAGTGAGGGGAAATTGGACCCTCTGTCGGAAGGTAGACGCTGCGGCACTCCGTGACGTGCAACTACATTCTCCACCAGTAGACGAGCAATGGTATCAGCTTTCTGATCCTCCACGGCAAACAACAACATAAAAATATGTCCCAGCACCCTTCCTTGAGGCACACACTAAACAGGTCCGGTAAACTTCCCACTGTGATGCTCCTTCATCAACGTCATTCTAAGACACTCTGGAATGGCTAATCGCCACAGTTCTTGAGCAGAAGGGCTGATGTTGTAGAGTACTCCATCCAGTAGTTGAAAGTTGTCTTGTTTAAACACCAACCATCGTGCTGTTTGGTTATCCGTAGGAAGCAGTCTATCCTCAAGGTACGCAAACCATGGTGACAGCCGTGGATCCTGCCATTGGAGGTGTCCTGATTCTGGAGCTCCCGCAGGGGAGTCAGTCTCACTTGTTGTTGTCCTAGTGTTGTCGGGACCGGAACCACCGGCTGTGACAGACTGAAAGAGAAGAACTTGCAAAACGGCAATAGGGTTTCTTGACAGAGCCTCTGCAACTTGGTTGTTTTTCCCTGAGCGGTGACGAATGTCCAGGTTGAGCTCCTGAATTGACATGGCCCATCGCACAAGCTTGGACGATGGATTATTAGCAGTGAGCAGTGATGTGCAGGCTGCATGAGCTGTAAAAGCGATACAGCGATGACCCAGTATGAATGGACGGAAGAGCTTGACAGTCCATACCAAACCGAGGGTCTCCAATTCGGTGATGGTGTACTTCTGTTCCGCAGGATTCAAGGAGCAGGATGCAAAAGCAATTGGATGAACTTTGCCATCGACTTGCTGTTGAGCCAACATGGCTCCTAGGCCTCGGGTACTGGCATCCGTCTCGTGTATGAAGGGATGCTGATCCTCAAATTGTGGGTAGGCTAAGATCTGCTGCGATCTTGTCTCGAAACACAAATGGCACATGCCGAACTGGCTGCTTGATGGAGGTGGTGTCACCAGTGTCCACTTGATGTTGAACTAACTGTGTATGGCCTAGCTCAGTATTGTCCGGCAGGCTATATAGCGCGCACCCGTCATGTCAATTATTCGCCGAAGCATGCGCTACGCCACGTTGGTTGTACGATCCACGGGCTTCTCTCAGTTTTGATCTCTGTTCTCTTTGCTTTCAATGGATAAACATGCTGAGCAAGGTATGTTCGCAATGTAGCATAATAGTTCAGGTGGCGAGCAGTTTGTGGTTGCTGCCTTGCCTTCCCATCTATAAAACGTCTGGCGAGAGCATTGAATCACAGAAGAGCAGATAGATTGAATGAAGCACATATGAGAGCCTCTGAAACACCTGAGCAATTGCTCTAACCGCTAATGCAACTACCCTGTGTTACGGCGAGACTCGTGTTACTGGCTCCGTCAGTGACGCACGGCCCAGCATACAGCGATGCTACAGCTGGCGCGTTTAGCGCCGAGGGTTTGCACTTTTCATTACCCTAGGTGCGTATGCGCAGCGAGGGTACGGTATCTAGTTGGGTCTGCCTGTCTGTGTGTCTGTTACTCTATATCTCACTTCTCCAATGTTTGTTAGTCTCACAAACGATACGACCTATTTAACGGGTGATGAAGGTCAGAACTTTCAAGCGTTTTTCTCTGAAAATGCTCAGTTGCAGAGCTAGAGCCATTGTACGGCTAATGCCGGCCGTAGTAGGCCATTTTACTCTGCGGAAAACGCGCATGCACATTATTCATCCACGTGATGGAAAGCGGCCATTTTGCTTCTTGTTTGGTGATGTCCAGTTGCGTGAGTTGCCGACTTGTCCAGTTTTCAGCTTCACCTAGCAGTGAGAAATGAACATGGTCACCAACCGCATAGCGTGTGTGGCCCAGCCCATCAATTAACGCTGCTTCATGCGCATACGTACTGTACACTGCAGCCTACAATACACTTTGCCAGCGTTGCGCTGAGGGTTAGCACTTTAGTGCTTTCTAGTCTTCTTCAGAGCTTGTACTTGCTGATCTGTGAGGCCATTACCAGTTTCCTGTGAAAGTGCAGCAACGAGTCTCACCAGTCGTTCGTTCTCGTGGGTGCCTCCATTGCTAGCTGCAGGAGAAGTTATTTGAGCGTTTGCTGAGTCCAGCTGTTTCTGAGTCGGTGACACTGCTTCGGCTATTTAACTGCTACCCTTCAAAAGCACAACGGGGTAACTGTTCCAACACACTGGCCTGGCTTCAGACGAACCGAGAGGGATGCTCCACCGCAATCAGCATCTTTCCATCGCTGTGTGTTACCACTGCTTCGGGTGCGGCGAGGCCCAGTAGTTGGTGTGGTTCAAAGAGTAGAGAGTCAGTTGCAGGAAATTGTGATTTGAGCTGGACCTCCAGTACTCTTCCTTTTCCAGGCAGGAGATAGGTCGAGCATATAATACACACGTCTCCTTTACGGGCAGGTAGTGCTTATACCTGAAATCACTGGTACATGGAGTATTACCAGTGGGATTTGACGAGGTGGTTGCCGGAGAGCTCCCATGGGCTGTGGTGCCACTTCTGTCCTTGGCCCTGAGCAGCTAGCTAATAGAGCTGTCCCATTCCCATGTAGAAACTGTACTCCGAGGAGGGGCAAAACATTCATTCCGAGCAAGCAGGGAATGTTGCTTCCTGGTTGTACAAACACGGGGACATGGACATCATGTCCATCAAGAGAAAACTTCATCCGTGCTTCAGCAGTGATTGTCAGTTCACTGCAGTCTGCTCCACTCCGTCCGTAGAGTTTGGCACTCGGTTGTACCAGGCTAGGGACATCACATCCAGCTTCCCACATATACTTCGCCACTCGATGTAAGGTCTCCCGAGACAGGATAGTCGATTGAGCTCCTGTGTCCACCACAGCTTTTACTGGACAACCTTCAATCTGGATTTCAAGGCACAGGACAGGTCCAACAGTGTTAGCAGATTGGGCAACCACGGCTCCGACACTCGACTTTTGAAGCTTAGACTGCTGCACCTGAAGTTGCATTGTGGCCAGCAACCATTCCATCTGTTGTACAGATTCTTGTTTGATACCAGGACTTTTATTGTGGTCACGAGTAGTGGGGTCAGCAGGTGGATAAGATTCTTTCCCGTTGGCTGTGACTTGAGAGTTAGAACTCCTCCCTGAGCGTCCTGGTTCTTCAGACTTGAGCTTAGGGCAGGCACGTTGGAAAAGGTTTGGGTCTCCGCAGTTGTAACATCCACGTCTGCTTCCATAACATGAGTTGTGTGCTGATGATGACTTGGTTGACGATTTCAGAGCATTGTCTTTTGAAGATTCTTCATGTGACGAGTGCGGTGCTCTTTTCTTTCCTTCACTTGTGGACTGCGACTCTGAGTTCCGATGTGACTGAGGTTTTGACTGCGACTGGAAGCATATTGTTTGTCATGGCGTTCCAGCGTACGAGCTCACGCATAGAACTCCTCGAAAGACTCTGTGGTCTTTGGTGCTCCAAGTCTTTTTTGCCACTTGGGTAGGAGAGCCTGGTAGAATCTCCCCTTTATGATGCGGTGGAATTCCTTCATCCCACTTTTTGGAAAAGCCTTGCTAACTTCTGCAATTCCATTCGAAGTTCCTCCACGCTCTGCTTCTCCTGCATAAGTTGGTTAAATTCAAGCCCCACAATTCTTCTATGTCCAGCGAACGAAATCTCTTCTGGAGGGCTACCACCACCTTGGCGTAACTTGACTTTTCTTCCTCTGGCAGCATTCGTACCATGTGCTCAGCTGTCTTCTCGAGATGAGCCTTCAATTGAAACAGCTTCTGTCCCTCATTCCATCCAGCTACTTTGGCTCACTCCTCGAAATGCTCCACCCAACGATCGATGCTCCCTTTATTGGTGTTGATGCTTTCACCACTGAACTTGCGTAGAGGGGCAACCGTTTGGGCGACCGTTGCTTGCACTTGTGCCTCCATCATGCGGCGTTGCGCGGCGTTGTGCCGCCAGCAGTTGTGTTACGGTCACCATAACACTGTCCACCTGCTGTGATGCAGGCGGCTCCTTCTGTTCGTTTCCACCACTGGTTGGCGTCTCCCCGTAAGACTCACTAGCTCCTGTAGATGGCACTAGACAACTATCTCGAGCATTGGCACTGTCAGACAACACTTCCCTGTCGTGGTCTGGAGGTTGTGGCGCTGGTGCGACATAGTCCTCTGCAGTAGTGTGTCCAACCCTTGGCTTGCTCTTCCATATTATGAATGCGCTCATACAGCCTTTCTTTCTCAGCTAGTATCTCAAACTTCCACTCCTTGACTTCCTCGCCTTCTCGTTGTCTTACTTCCCACAGGTACTTACTCTCCTTGTCAAAATATTTCCTGAGCTCCTCTCCCAGTACCTCTGTAATTCATACTCCATGCGAGTTACCTCTTGTTCTCGTTTCAGAATAAAAACATGCTGTTCGGCTCCATCCAGCTCTTCCTGCACTAATTCCACGTCCCGTCGGACATTGTCAGCTTCTCTCCGGACTAATTCCACTTCCGCTTTAGCTGTCTCCACCTCTCCCGTCCCCGCACTTTCTTCTTTTTCTCTGACCGTCTCCAACTCACTCCGCGCGAAGGTCAACTCAGATCTGACCTCGGCTAGCTCCACCTCCTTCTTACTCAACAGTTCACGTATGCGCGCCATCTGCTCGAGCTATTGATGGACGTCAATTGTTTCAGATTGGTTCCCACTTTCACTTCCGGCTGTCTCTCTCTACGTAAGCTCGGCTTCTTCCGACGAATCGCGTCGATCAGTCCTTTCAGGATCAGTTACAGCAACACTCATGGCACTTCTTACTTTACCAGACCGCAATAAACCTGGCTGGCGTGTGAGCATCTCACTAGATAGTGAAGCTCGGAGTTGCGCTGCCTCTCTCTTTCCCTCTGGATCCAAGCAGGGTCGCCAAATGTAACGGCCTACCGTCACCTAGCGGGTTCTCGTTAGCACACTTTGATAGCCGCTTGCTCACACTCACGCGGTCTCAGTCTCAACAACATCATTACACGTGACGTCTCGTGATCATACACGGACAGTATGGTGACAGATGATTACAAAACCTTACACTTGACCCATCCTTAGCATTTCTCCTTGACTCAATGAATGCTCTTCCTCCCAGTAATTAGCTGGGAATTGAAGGGATGAGGCTAGAGGTTTCTCCTCTGAGACTGGTTCCTTCTCGACTCCCTGACTATAGTTGCAGACTTTTCTTTTCGTGACTTGCATTGATCAGGCGGCCAAAAAAACTCTCGGCACTTCATGGTGAAGTCAGTCTAGTGCAAATAGTATGGTCTCTTGATCGATCCTCTGGATCTCAGCCATGTTAGAGTCCGAGTCGGAAGGGTCCGTGAAAGGGTCCTGCAAAATTCCATGCATGTTCAACCTTGTCTGCTTGCTTGAACAAGAACACTCGGACCGACCCTTCTGGTCGTAGTAGTCCTGCTTTTCTGGGCTCCTCGAATACACTGCCTTGCCAGTTTCCAGGTCTCTGACATGTTGTCAAGTCTGCTAGCCTCTTTTTCTACTCTCTGAATCTGTGCAGCAAGAAGAACTCTAAAGTACTCTCTTGCTCTGTATAAGCACACAGAACGAAAGGCAGTCTTTGATTCCCTTATCATTGTACT